AGATGAAAATTCTTAACATCTATAAATAGACACTCAAAGTTTAAATCTATTCAGCTCAGAACTGGATGTGGACCCACTGAAGCATGGGCTTTGAATGAACTTATTGTCATAATGAGCAGGCAATCCCCAGAAGTCGTAGCCAGCTCTTAACCCTACCCATATAAACACGCCCAACATCCAGGAAAGCAGCTTTCCTGCATTATCTGCTGGGGGAGAAGGGAGCCCGGCCTTATCGCAAATTTTCGAGTATTAACGCATCGTGGGGAAACTTCCGCTTGTTTGCCGAGCGGCTTAGAAGACTCACAAGCACACACTCTCATCGCAGCCCCACATCCGCCAGGCCAAGACAAATTGCAGATTGGTAGACTCCGTTTGCAGGACCTTCTCGCCTGCTCCTCTAACTGGATTCCCCTTCGGGCGCGTGGAACAAAGGAAAATCCATATTTTATTTTTATTATTTTCCGGCGCCTCGGCAGGTGTCGATTTCGTGTGATTTTTCTTTTGGGCGAAATTAAATTTAGCCAGGGACTTTCCCTGCCGCCCCCCGCCCCACTCAAATCAGCGTCAATCAATTTTGGTCGCTTTCGTCAGACAAAAACAAGCCTCAGTCGTCGCCCCCAAAAAAAACGCCCACCTTTTGTAATGGGAAAAATTATTGAATTTGTCAACGACTGCCGCAGGCGATTGGACCAGAAATTAGGACGGAGAGAGAGGGCTTTAAGAGTGCCCAGAACCAGGCCCAGAATTAAAGAGCTCCGAGATTTATGCGACTGTTGTAGGTGTCAGGCAAACAGAATTATGTTTGGAAACGATTTTCCACCTTTGCCGTCATACATCATCAGGGGCTTGCAACCCCGCAATGAAAGCCGGCAAAACAACCCTCCAACGTTAACAAATTTCTTTGCGACGTTTTTAAATTTTGTGTTATTTCTTTTTGTATATGATGACGAAGGGGAGCGGCTAATGTAAATCGCATGTGTGTGTATGACCTACGCCTTATTTAGTGAAGCGCTCCAAACCCAAACCCCAAACCCCAGAGCCAAGTGATTTGTTGACAAAGAAATTTTTTAATAATTCACCGAGTCAGAAGCGGGCGGAAATCTCATTCAGCATAAGTGATGATGTAATTTTCGCTAAAAATTGAAAAAATCTCCACGCTGGCAGGAGCGGTTTAGAAGGGAAAAGGGGGAAGGGGGGCGAGGTACGGTATCCCCTCACGTAAAATATGTTGCAACAATATGTTGAGTTAGAGTTGAGTGTGTGCCGCTGACGATGATGAATGGGGCACGCATGCACTGATTCCACTGACGCACTGGCTGACAATCCCGTCACGGATCTCGGCGAATTATAAGACCCTTCCAAGGTCCTCGTAGCTACTTTATCATTCGGAAAAGGAGTTGGAGCTCATGATGAACCAGTGTGCCACGATCGTCAGGTAACCCTTGGGTAATGCCAAAAAAACACCGAAGCTAAAAGTATATATTAAGTATACGACAGAATAGGATTGGATACAATAGGATAGGATAGGATAGGATAGGATAGGATAGGATAGGATAGGATAGGATAGGATAGGATAGGATAGGATAGGATAGGATAGGATAGGATAGGATAGGATAGGATAGGATAGGATAGGATAGGATAGGATAGGATAGGATAGGATAGGATAGGATAGATAGGATAGGATAGGATAGATGGGATAGGATAGGATAGGATAGGATAGGATAGGATAGGATAGGATAGGATAGGATAGGATAGGATAGGATAGGATAGGATAGATAGGAGGGATGGGAAGGAGATAGGATAGGATAGGATAGGATAGGATAGGATAGATAGGATAGGATAGGATAGGATAGGATAGGATAGGATAGGAAGGATAGGATAGGATAGGATAGGATAGGATAGGATAGGATAGATAGGATAGGATAGGATAGGATAGATAGGATAGATAGGATAGGATAGATAGGATAGGATAGGATAGGATAGATAGGATAGGATAGGATAGATAGGATAAGGAAGGATAGGATAGGATAGGAGATAGGATAGGATAGGATAGGATAGGATAGATAGGATAGGATAGGATAGGATAGGATAGGAATAGATAGGATAGGATAGGATAGGATGGATAGGATAGGATAGGATAGGATAGGATAGGATAGGATAGGATAGGATAGGATAGGATAGCATAGGATAAGATGGGAAAGGATAGAATAGAATAGGATACTCTTTTTTGGAATCTATCTTAAACAGTTAACAGAGGCTTTCAGAGGCTTTTTAATAAATAAAGTTTCTCTTTTCCTTCCAGGTTTATTTACCAAAATTCAATAAACCAGATGAGTGAACCCTGTAATGTCTAACCATTACCAGACCTGCAGTGGTTAAACTCATCTCAAAGCCCAAGCAACCCCTCTGAAATACGTTAATGACTCAATGTTCTCCTCAGGGAAGAAATAGACATCTTTGCCCCATCGAACGTAATTCCGAACCCCCCAAAATAATAGTCGGAAGCTGGACAACTTTTAATGCCTGCTGTCGATGGTCATGTGCATAGCTCATTAGTTTTCATCTAATTTGAAAGGCAGGCGTTTGGTTCGGTCCCTTGCCTGGCTTAATAAATTCGCATTTTATTGAGAAACCTTAAGTGTATACTCTTATTTGGACCAGAAAATTATTCAAATATTAGCTAAGCTTGTTATAAAAATAAAACAAAATAATTATTTTTGTATTTAAGTTTCTGGATAAAAGTAAACCTTTTAAATTTTGTTGGTTTTAGTTCAAACACTTTGAATTAACTTTTCAGTTTTCAGTTAAGATTCCGCTTGAAATGAAAGCAAAATGTAGACGAATTCAACCTATCACACTTCAGGGCTGCCAAATTCTCTGAGAACCACAGTAAAATAATGAAAAGTAAGCAAAAAAACATCGAAGCATCAATTTCCATTTATTTCGATAGTGAAAGTCGCATCACCAAGGGCCACAAAAGTGGCGTCCAGAAGCGGGAGCTGAAAAATTTCTTAATTATCCTGACGTGACGCTTGTGGGCGGCTTGGTTGACAAGCTTTTTAGCCTCTGCCGCTTTTTGCCTTCCCAATTTGTGGGCAGTCTGCTTTCCTAATGCTCGCGGACAAAGCAAGACAAATGAGTCGAAGTCAGCAACGAAAAATGTTCAAATAAAGTACTTTAAGCTGGAGAAAAATGTTTAGAAAATCTGGAAATGCAAGGCGGAATTTCACTTCTTGGCATTCGAAAAAAAAATGTAAACTTATAAAATTTGATTGAAAGCAAATCGCTTTTTCGAAAATAATCCCTGTTGAAAACAATATGCCACAAATGTCAATACAACAATAAACGCAACCAAAATGAAAATCCACAAAACATTTTCCACCCAGAACACCCGACGGAGAAAAAGGATGAAAATGGTGAAAAGCGTATATAATCTGCTTATCAAGGGGCTGCAGCCCTTTTTTTTACAAGGACTCCTTTTTTTCCAAGGAACGAGCGCCACTGTTCCAAGAAAAATGAAATGAAAATTGTAAACAAAAGGGAAGTGAAAATTTGATTTGCATTTCTAGCACAAAATGAAGCTGAAATACAATTGTTCTCAATTTTAGGTTTCATAAAGCCTTTGTTGTTTAGTTTTCTTTTTTTTCATATATATCACAGGGCATTCGATTCACAAAAGAGTTATCCTTCTTCTTCCGTTAAGTTTTTGTTTTCAAAATTGCGTAAACAAATGCATTTGCATTTGTTCTTTGTAAAAAGTTTCTTAAAAATTTAAATTAATTATATGTACTGATCAACGCAGTCAAGGAATTTGCCTTAAAGTTTTTGGTTTCCATTCGAAATGGTATTATTATGCAACTCGTTACACGTACGTAAATAAATAGCTTTTGGCCAAAAGGGCAAAACGAAAGAAGTTAAAACTAGTCAAAATAATGATACTTTATACAACAAATCGTAAAAATGTTAATTACAGATTTTAAATAAATTTGAATACCAACAATAAGTAAGAGATCAAATGTCTATGTATTTCTGTAAAGTACACTTTTAAAGCCAGCTCTTGATTATGCAAGACCCTTTATACCTTGGCCATAAAAAAGTGCATAGTGCTTCGATAAAGAAAGAGCCCTTGTAAAGCAAAGGGAAGTGGACAAAATCTGTAATTTAAATCTGAATGGACCAGAGGCTGAAATAAGAGCAACAACCGAAAGGGAAACAAGCCGAGAAACTGAATGAGATACCGAAACCGAGATTCAGAGGCAAGTTTGCGCCTCAATTATAATGAGAAAAGCAAACGAATTGGAAATAATTTTCAATTCACTTGTTTCCCACCTACTTTCGTGAGCCCTTCCTGCTTATTCGGTTTGCGATCTTCAAATATTTATGCGCCCTTTGTATTCATTATTTATTTGACTCGCCAAAACTTTTGCATGCATCCCGAAATCGAAATCGGCATCAGAAACTGAAACCGAAACCAAATCAGACGCACCTTTTTGGCCAACTGGCTGCCCCTGGGTAAGTTGAGGGTACCAGGCGATTGATAAAGCTGTTAATGTTTTTCAGGAACGGAGGATCTCGTGTCTGTAGGAGTGGCTTGTTTGCAGACGATAAGCCAAGCTCCTGCGGCCAAATAATGAATTATTTATGTAAGGCCAAAAACAGAGTGCAGCCAAATGCATAACTGAATGAATACGTTAAGGCAGAAATTAATTGGGTTGGATTATATAAAGGTTATATATCCAAAATGCAGCTCAGGAGAATTCGATTCTCAAAAAAAGGTTAAATAAAGGCTATAAATAAAGTTTAGATAATTAATTTAATCAGGAATCTTATTGATTTGATGGGCGGGGATCATAATCGCTCTTTACTTAAACTTAAAACGAAACTAGAAAAATTATTCTGGGAATATTTTATATTATAACTATTATATTATATAAAACTGGAACATATTTATGTTTGTTTTGAATTAGTTTTGATAATATAAGGTTTTAACAAACCTTTGGACAAGTAAGGTGCATAGATCTATATATTACATATCTACACAAATACATATCAAATCAAATACCTATACGTTACATATCAAATAACATTTTTAAATGCAGCAAAAAAAAAAACGGAAAAGGATTTTCAGTGAAATGATTGCTTGGATTCGCAGTGAAATCTAGTTTGGCTAGTCTAACCTTCGTGAACGCTTGTGATCCTGCTGAGGCTCTTGCTCCTTGCGGCGCTTGGAGATCGCCGGCGAGGTGTTGTTCCGTCGCCGCTGGGAAGAGTGCTGGTGGAACTTGAACTGGAGGCCATTGGAGGTGCGATTCGCGCCACCAGGGCCGGGATGAGGCGGATCGAGTTGGCGATTGGATTCCTTGACCATTATGGGCCGGTATGACCCGCTCAAACGGTGCTGGTCCAGGGCGCACCTCGCCGCCTCCGCGTCCTGGTGGCGCTCAAAACGCACGAAGGCCACTCCACGGGAGTGCTTGGTGATCTTGTTCCGCAGGACATTCACGTCAAGGACGCGGCCGTAGGAGGAAAAGAGGTCGTTCAGCCTTTGCTCGTCCATGAACGACGGCAGGTGCGCCACGTACAGGTTGACGTTCCTGTTCTGATCGCACGATGGCCTGGCGAAGGCCACCTTCATCCACTTGCCGCGCAGTCTGCGTCCGTCCAGGGCGATCTGGGCCGCCGAGGCCTGGCGGGCGGACACGAAGTCCACGAACCCGTAGCAACAGCTCAATCCCGAAATGGGTTCGCGGATGATCTTGAGCTTGCGTATCTCGCCGAACTCGGAGAACATTTCGAGCAACTCCGCCTCCTTCATGTCCTGCGGCAAATAGTTGATGATGAGGTTCGTCGGGCCTCCACGTCCTGAATGTTGATTCGCGAGAGGCACCTCTGGGTCACCGGTTTGGAAGCTTCCATGGTCGGCGTAACTCCAACGCAGCGTCTGGTTACTGGAATCCGAGGAAGTTCTATTCTCTTGGCCACTGGTGTGCTGACCATGCGACTTCTTGGTAATTGACGGAGAGGTCCTGATGACCGACTTAGGTTTGACACTGTCCACGCTTTTCAAGCCATAAAATAAAAAAAATATAATAATTGCAAAGAAAACGTTTACGTAAAAACAAATCACGTACTTATTGGTACTCATTTTTATTAGGTATATGACAAAATGACGAAAAAATTACAAATGACTGAAAACTCCTGCCAGGTAACTAAAACTTTCAATTTCAATTTACAAGACTTTACAGCACTGTCACAGGATTAATGTCAAAATTTGTGTGGTGTTGCAGAACGGAGTTTGGCGAAGAAACAATGTTGCAAAAGGTAGTAGTATTTATAATTTAAACTGATTTATTTTAATGAAATGTGTGCATAATACACTTAATAAACTAAAACAGCAATATTTAATCAAACAAAAAAAGGGTATAACTCTTGAAAGATGCCGGCAAGGCCTTTTTCCTACTTTTCAATGCAAATTAAATAAATGCCACTGGCTGCCATCGCTGATTTGGCTGAAAAGTTGGCGTGCCAAGACAAAATGAAACCCTTTTTGTGCGCAAGGTGCAAAAGTTTCTGAAAGTTTTCCACCTGTTTATTTATTTGTTTGCTGATTATGGAATTTCAACGTTGCCGATTCGAAGGTGGGAGAACTGCAATGGAATGCAAAGGAATGTAAGCATTGCGCAGGTGAAAATTAAATTGGATGTTGTACATTTCGGGGCAGCCTACCTGGCACTCGAACTTATTGATTGGATTGCGTAGTGATCAACCATCGAATATCCCCAGAGTATGCAGCCACGATTTGCCAAAGTAAACTTGTTCATTATTTCTTTCTGTTTTATTTAGCCTCATATTAATTAATTTCCATTTCCGTTTTGTTATCGTGGGTAAGCCGATTTTTACCTTCATGCTGACTAGACAATTAATCAAGTTTAATTACTCAAACGTTGCGGGAGGAGACCAGCTCCTTATCCGCCCGCCGCCCAAGGACTCCCCTTGGGGACCAGCGGATTCGCATTGGCCCGATGCGGTGGGCATCTGCATTAATCACTGGAATATGCTCACATTTCTCAGCGCCATGTGTGGGGATGGGAAGCGGGTCATGAAATGGGCAGGACTCAGATAAAACTCGCCATTAAAAGACGCCTCACGTAAACAATACATCTGGATGAGGTGGGTCGTTTACATATTTCCGCAGCGAATAACTTAGCAGCGGGCAAAGCAAATGGTTTCTGGCTGTTGTGTTTGAACAATTAAAAACGCTTTTTGGGAATACAAACAAAACTTAAGGATTAATGATTAATATTTTCAAGGGATGCCTATGCTGGAGCTCTTGATTCTGTAGACTTTCATTGCTTTATTTAACACTTTCTTTTTAACATGGAAACATTGAAAAATGGTTTTTAATTATATTTAAAGTTCTTATACAAATTTGTATTAAAATCCCAAAAAGTTGTAATTCAAATGCCAACAGTTTTTCATTAAAAAACAGATTTCATTGAGCTTTAAATACAAAATTTATTAACTTCATTTAATAAAAATCATTACATCTTAAATTCATAGAAAGTTTTTCATTTATGCATGCCAGTTCATCATGGTCGAATAACAAAGAAGCTTCGTGACGAAGCAAGTTACTAATGATAAAAATGTTATACATATTTGGAGGATCACACAATAAATACGCAAGTTCAGTTTTACTACAAACTTAAGGTCCTCTAACAGTGGCTGTGAAAGACGTTCATAAGACATATGAATCAACGGGAATTCATTCCGGCCACTCATCGAATAATCGCTAAACACCATTTACTAAAAGATAAGCCTCAAATCTACAGAATGCTACGATATTCGTCTTAGATATACTTTCTAATGGGACCCCTAGACTTCTTTCGCATCGATAATCTCGAATTGCAGGTCATACTGCTGGTCGAAGCCAATCAGGCAGTCGGACATCAAGTACAAAGTGAGCTGCAGACGTCCGCGTCGCGGAGTCGCCTGGAAGGATATGCGGTTGGAGCAGCGCTGTCCGCGAATCGATACCCGCTTCATGGCCAGCAGTTCGTCACTGGCCTGTGAGCCCAGGGTCAGGAACCAGGCTTCGTTCTTGGGCTTGGGGTATTTGGGGCAGTGTACCGTGTAGCTTTGGCCACCAGCTCTCCGCTGTCCACCGGCATTGAGACGCTGTAGATTCACTGTGAGGACATAATCCTCATTGGCATGCAGTGGCATCCATTCGCCCTTTGTGCCTTCGGATAGTGACAGCGGTCGTTTGGCGTACTCGTTCTCCATATAGCGACCCTCTACGGATATTTGCAATGCTATCTCAGGAAAATCTTGGATCACCTGCAAGATTAACAAAGAGCTATTAGAGATTAACCCACGGCATAAAGTCTTCAAAACTTACCTTATACATCTGCTCGATTTTGTGCTCCTCAAAGGCATCTCGCAGCGGTCTTGCCAGTACTTCGTACTCCTTTCTGCACAGCTCCTTAAGAACGGGCAGTGTCAAATAGTCGTGATCATCGTGTGGTATGCTCAAAAAGGCATCGAGGTTTTCCTCGTTTACTCCTGGCAGTGTGAGGAACTCGCTGCCATCGAACCAGCGGGCCTGGATGACGCATTGCATCAGCTGCTGCACCACCAAGGTGGTGGATAGCCATCCCCGTTCCGCCGTGTAGTCCACCATGGCCTGCATCACTCGAGTGGCGTTGTCCAGGGCTGACTTGGTGTCCGTCAGGTAGTCCGAATTCGGAAGCGACTGGCGGGTGAAGTGGGCCTGGAGTAGCAAAAACGTTTTGGTGTACGGAGAATCCCAGGAGGCAGATGGAGGCCTGAAGCGACTCATCTCGGCCATCTGCTCGTTGTACTTGTCCTCGTTGTGACGGACGGGTTGCTGGTCGAATTCGTAGGAATCGGCGATGGCGAGGAGAACTTCCTTGGTGCTCATGCCCGGCTGCAGGTCCTCCAGAAAGTGCTTCATTGTGCGGTACGACAGATAGTAGTAGGAACTGATTCGCCCCAAAAAGGTTGGCACCAGGCATCCATCACGCTCCACCAGACAGGCGGCACCGGAAAGTTCGTACACCACGCGCTCCACCAGATTGGACATAAAGGCGTTGACGTTCTCCGGCTCCACGCCCTGCAGCTGATAGTACGACGGATTCCGGAGTAGCCGCCTGAAGAAGTACGTCCACGTAAGGTAGTCTAAGGCCGCCTGCTTTGACTGAACTGTTCCGGCCACGACCTCGGCGTTAATGTGCTCCGGCAGCACACCCAGCAGACTGGACTCCACGGGGAATGGATCGTATAGGAACTTCTTGTAGAAGTTCTTCTTTTCGTCGTGCACCAGGACCACTGCCACGCCTTCGTTGTCAAACTGCGGCCGTCCAGCTCGACCCATCATTTGCAGCACATCCGTGATGGGCATGTCCACGTACTTCTTCACCTTGCCGTCGAAGTATTCCGTGCCTTTGATCACCACCAGATGGGCAGGCAAGTTGACACCCCACGCCAGCGTGGCGGTTGCCACCAGCACCTGGATCTTCCGGTTGAGGAACAGCTCCTCCACACACTTGCGATCCTGCTCTTGCAGACCGGCGTGATGCAGGCCAATGCCGAAGGCTAGGCAGAATTTGAGGTTCTGGTCGCGAATGTTCTGCAGGATCAGCTCCATTTCATTCTCGGCGATGTGCAGGAACTGCTTGGGATTGGAGTCACCAGCCACGAATGTGATAAGGTCCAGGGCAGTCAGTCTCGTCTGCCTTCGCGAGGAGACAAACACTATGGTGGGCTCACACGGGGAGTAGGTGCGAATGGCTTGGAATGTGGGTCGGTTCATGGTGGCCATTCGGGGGCAGTAGTGCTTTCCCGGGAAGCCGTTGATATGCACCTGCAAAGGAACCGGTCGCACTGAGGGCTTAAAGTTGTACAGACCCATTTTGGTGATGCCCAACCAGTTGGCCAGGTCCTGGGCATTGGCTAGGGCTGTGGATAATCCAACGATTCGGATAGCCCGACCCGTGTGGGAACTAATGAAGTTTGTGCGCGAGACAATCACTTCGATGACCGGTCCTCGATCCTCGCCCAGCAAGTGGATCTCATCGATGACGATCAGGGAAACATGCTGCACATACTCGCGTGTCTGCCAGGAGCGACTGATTCCATCCCACTTCTCCGGCGTGGTCACGATTAGCTGCGACTCCCGAATAGCCTGGATGTCTGGAGTAACGTCGCCCGTCAGTTCCACCACTTTTAGGCCCAGCGAAGAGCGCTGGAAACGTTGCTCCCAATCCGAGATGCGCTCCTTCACCAAAGCCTTAAGCGGAGCGATGTACACCACTTTGCACTTGGGATTCTGGTTGAGTGCCCTGAAGATCGCTATCTCCGCTACGATTGTTTTGCCACTGCCGGTGGGAGCGCCTAGAAGCACGTTGTTATCAGTGTGGTAAAGGCAGTGGAAGATTTGCGTCTGAATGGGATTGAAGTGTGTGAATTTGTAGAGCGACTCGTAGAGGACGTTCTTGAGGCAGTTGACTGGCAGCGGGCGGAGAGGCAGAAGTTCCGTCAGCGGCGGATGATGTTCTGGCAGAACTAGGTGTTGGAATGACAGTGGTATGCAGGTGGTGCTGCCAAGCCAGCTATCGCTGCTCACTCGAATATAGTATTGCGGCGGCAGTGGCTCCTTCAGAGGGATGGTCATCACAAGCTGCTGTGCCTGACCGCTCATCACCAACTTCCGGCTGACCTGGAACAGCTCCGAGTGGTAAATGTAGTTGGACTCGGGATCCTCTATCCACAGCCAGAAGCTCTGGCTCGTCTTGCCGTGAACGCGGTCGTTCCACGTGAAACTGGGCCAGATGTCAACCTTAATACGCAGCACCGTTCGAGTGATAGGCTGCAAACTCGCCTCCACCTCCAGCATGGGCAACTCCTGTGCGGAGCGGATAACCAGCTCGGCATAGCGATCGCTTCGCAGCCACTCCTTCAGTTCCCGCTGCTCCATGTCCCTTAGCCGGTAGACACTCAAGCCACGGCGTTCCAACTTGTCGATGGTTTCGGCGTTAATCGCTGGGAACTGTCGCAGGTGGCTGTCAAGATCCCATTGCCGACGTTCAAACATCTTGCAAAGCTGCAGCATGCGTCCTGCTAGTACCGCATTATTCTGCCTCAATACAATGGAAAACAGGGCCCTAGTAATTCTTCCTATATTTGTGGTGATGTAGGACATGTCCGAGCTTAGTGAGAAGGACTTCACATAGCCATTGGAAAGATATGTCTGAATAAGAATGTTGACCTGAAGGGAAAATTTTGTTTAAAAGGGAAAAAAGTAGTATATAGGGTTTGATAGTTACCTTGCCGTGAATATTCTCACTACCTCCGTAAGGCTTTATCTTGCAATAGTAGCTCCTCAGCTCGTCCAGTTCTTCCATTTCATCATCGCGTACTTTAAGCTGCTGGAACTCCTGCGCCTGGGAAATCATGGCCAATATCTCAGCCTCGTTCATAAATGGCTTCATCAGCTCATTGAAAGTCTCTACAGTATCGTACTTAATGTAAAAATGCGAGGCAGTGCGGCCCAAATCAGTTATATTCATGTCCATGGTACGCTGGTTAAAGCGCATCATCCGAGCCTTGTCCAGACTCATCGAGGCGGACATAATGAGAGCTCGGCGGCGTGCCTCCAGCGTGGGATCCTTCTGCAGTTCCGCATACTCTATGCCGTAGACATGGGGATTGATTCGCATTCGCACAAACAAGTAACTAAAATGTATAATTAAAAATTATAATAAATATGTTGTAAGTAAACTTCGATTAAGGAATTAACTCACGTGTAACTGAGCCACTCGATAGCTTCCTCCACATTGGTAATGGTGCCCAAACCGATCTCCGCATTGAGATTGTCAGCCAGGCAATTTACAAAGTTGGACTCGATGGGAAATTGATTGGTTAGCAGCGACAGGTAGTGGTTGAGCTTATCATAGCTGGTGATGATGGTACCCACTCCACTTTTGTCGAATTGCGGTCGACCGGCGCGTCCAAAGATCTGCAGCACGTCGAGAATGCCCAGGTCCACGAAGCTGCCGTGTTTGGCATCGTAGATATCCGTACCTCGAATAATGACTGCGTGTGCCGGCAGATTGACACCCCAGGCGAGGGTGGCCGTGCAGACCAGTACCGAGATGTGGCCATCCACAAAGTACTTCTCAACCATCTGACGGTCCGCGCGCAACATTCCCGCATGATGCATGGCCAGGCCGCAGGAGAACAGGTCCACCAGCTGCTTGTTCCGGCTTCTCTGTATCGATCGCATGGCCAGTCCGTGGGCATTCGAGTCGTTGGGCAGGAAGATGGCACTGGTATTGTTCTGCTGGGCTAGTTCGCGGATCACATTCGCCGTTCGTACAGTGGCATTTCGGGCATGGACGAAGACCATTACCTGGTGGCCTTCCTTCACCATCTCGGCGCACTTCTGGTAGCAGCACTGGTCCATGTCGGCGATCTGCTGCAGTGGCTTGACCGACTTAATGCCAACGAAATTGGTGTCCAGTGGAACAGGTCGGAAGCGGGAGTCAAAATAGAAGAGGCCCTTCATGGGATTCACACGCAGGAAATGGGCCACATCGATGTAATTTGGCAGGGTGGCGGATAGACCCACAATGCGAATCATAGACTGCGAAGACTCGACGAGGCGGAGGGTGCGGGCCACCAGTGCCTCCACAACCGGGCCTCGCTCGCCGTGCAGCAGGTGAACTTCATCAATGATGAGTAGTTTTACCAGGCTTATCAAAGCCACATCTCCGCTACCTGCAATGAAATTCGATTATCATTAAGTCCTACCAATATTTCAGCCAGCTTACCCTTTCTGGTGACCACATCCCACTTCTCCGGCGTGGTGACCAGTATCTGGGTGGCTGCCATCTCCGCCTTGGTCAGTTGCATGTCGCCCGTCAGTTCGCGCACAACGATTTGTAGAGATTTCAGGCGCTTGGAGAAGTTATCAACCATTTCGGAAGCCAGAGCCTTCATTGGAGCTATGTACACGATTTTGAACTCGTCCCGGTTGATTATTCCCTGCTCCAGGTGACAACGGATTGTGTGTACAATGGATAACATGGCCACGTTGGTCTTTCCGGCTCCCGTGGGCGCACACACCAACATGTTTTCGTTGCTGTGGTAGGCCACTGGATATACCACTGATTGGATGCGATTGAGTTCCTTGCAGTTGGCAAAGGCCAGTCTTCCCACGTCGTCCAGCTCTTCGATTTTGATGCGCTTATTGCCGACAGTAAGTGGAGGTGGTTCGCTTGCCGGGATCTTGACCTCCTCCCACTGCTTGTTGTCCACACGCTGGGCATTGTCGGGCAATGTTATCCGGCTGCCGCCAATGAATCCGGCGTGCTGTTTCGCCAAAAGCTGGCTGTCAAACACATAAGGGTAGTGGATGGGCTGGTTGTACGAGGACTGTTTATGCTCCGCCTTTGCCGCCTTGGTGCTGAGCAGCAATGGCTCCCGTTGGGCTGCCTCCAGAAGCTTTCGCTGATGCTGCATGCGCAGTTGCTGGACGGAAACGGCCACCGCACAGTTCGGATCGTCTTCTGGCTCTTCGTCCTTGATGCTTCGCATGATGCGCTGCAGCTTCTTCTCCTCCCGTCGCTGCATCTTGCCCAGCTGCTTCTCCTGGGCTGATTGCACCACCACGGCGCTGGCAACAGTGGGTCGTCGCTCAGCCGCTCCTCCACTGGCCGCCGTCTGGACGCGCTTCTGTTTCACCTCCTTGACACGCCGGGATCGAGTGGCAAACTGGTCCAATTGCCGGGCAATCTTGTCGCGCTCTTGGAGCAGCTTTCCCACCAGTTCAAAGTGATCGAAGCCCAGCAGCTCCATGAGCTCGTTCTGAAGCTCCTCACTGCTGCGCTTGGAGCCGAGAATGTCACCCACGCGATTCAACAGGTGCTCGTCGTCCAGTTTTTCCGAAATCCCCAGCAGGGTCTGCAACTCCGGACTCAGCTTGGCGGCCTCAGTGCTCTTGGACACCGCCGGTGCAGTCTTGGATTTGTACTTCATGGAGAACTTGTTGACGGTGCGGTTCTTGAGCAGGGCATCCGGGGCCAGGTCCGTCAGCAGGCTGATGTCCATCCACTCCGAGGGCGTGCACTTCACGTGGATGTGGGCGCCCCAAAGAGGACCCACTCCAGGGGCCTTGCGCTGCGCCTGCTGCCAGCGTTTGAGCCCGGCCCGTTCGTGCTCCTCCAGCAGATCGCCGATGGCCAGGACGCAGTCGTGGATTTGGGTCTTCTTGCGGTCGAAGGTCTGGCCGAAGGTGCCGTGCAGCCGGTGGGTGGTGGCCACCAGGAGCACCCGCTGCTCGAGGAGCAGCCAGAAGAGGTAGAGGGCGGCGTGCTCCACCACCTGTGGCTGTTCTTCGTAGCCCATGCACTCCTGGACAAGGTTGCGCAGCTTCTGCAGCTGCACCTTGGCGGCGGGTTGCTTCCCCAGCGGCATCTGGGCCAGCAGCTTGGCGATGGTCTGCTCCTCCTTGCTGGAAGGAAGGCACATGGGTTCAGGGGAATTTCACAGGTGGTGAAATCTCAACTCACTCTTGGCTGTGTGTCGTCGTGGACGCCGTGGAGGCAGTTCGCGCCTGGCGCAGGATATTGAAGCGGCGGCTCCGGGCCTCCAGCTCCGTTTTGGTGCGCAAGGATGCGCTCAGTCGCGGCGGTTCCCACATATCCCTATTTTTATCCTTATTTATGTCTGTTATTTAGAGCAGGAATGTTCAATCTGGCAGAGCTCCGAAGAAAACAAGCTGGCAGGCCGCTCAATGTGAAACGGTGTTGGGAAACGCGTTCTTGGGATTGCGTCTCCGCTACAATTCAAACCGTTATGAAAATATTTTGTTTATAACTGTTTTTTGAATTAAGTTGTTTAGTTAACTCGAAGTCAAGTATCAACTTACAGTTGGAATAAATTAAATAATAAAAATATTGTAATAAGGCAAAAAAAAAAAAAATAAAGTTTATATATCAAGAATGCAGATGTTATACGGAAATGAAAAGAAACTGCACAAAATAAAAGAATTGAAGCAATTGTTTGCTTTGTTGTTGCGGGATATGTTACCCCTGAGTTGCCGGACTACCAACAGGCTTTTTGCGTTGCCACATCTTGGAAAATATGTTCAATATCGTATATCGTTATATCGTAAAAAAGACGTTACAAATATGGCATTGGACTAATATTTTAGCTTATTAAACGTGTCTAATGCGTTTTCCTCTACATAATTTATTCTAAATAAATTATAAAAGCCATAAAACAAGATAAATCTTAATTTAGTAACGGCATTATTATATTTCGTTTGAGGGAATATCGTACATTTTGTAAGTGTAAATTACTTAGTACTTTTCTCGCACTCGTGCTCTTTCATAAATATAATATTTTTAATATGCTAAACTGGTCGCCTGCCAGCCCGTTTCAAAACTTTTTACAACCTGTGTGCAGCTGCTCTGATTTTGATTTGCGGCTGCCCAGCCACCACAACCCCAAAATAACCCCATAAACTTGTTGCGCAAGCTGCAATTGTCTGCGAGCTGCTATTTATTATGCACTGCGTGTCCACATACTCGCCCGAATCCTCCTCCTGGTTATCCATCGCCACATCGCTTCATTGACCACTTTGAATGGAGGAATCCCTAAGTGGGCGGATGTCCTGGGGCAGGCGTGTATATAAGTTCGATGGCCGGCATCTCGGTCCTTTCAGTTGCGATTTCTCTGGCACACGGCACAGGACTCCAATAGAGGATCTTATGAGCGACACAACCTTTTGAGCAAGTCCCCGACCAAAGACCAAGCCAACCATGCATTGGCTGGCCCATTTCCAGATCATATTGCTATGTGAGTTGAAAGCTATGAGTTGTTACCAATACCTAACTATTAATCCTGATTATTGCCAGGCATATGGTTGATGTGCCCCAGCTCGAGGGCCATCAAATGCGACACTTGCGGCAAGGAGTGTGCCAGCGCCTGCGGAACCAAGCATTTTCGGTAAGTTAATATTTTTATGTAGCAGCTCCCTCAACAATCCTAACTTTTGCTAAGATTTCTAGAGGGTTTTTAGGGATTTAGAAGATAAGTTAGACTACAGTTTGGTCAAAGAAAAGGGCTAACATTTAGATTTCAAAAGGATGCATGCTTAAAACTCTTGTTTTTAATTAACATACCATGACTTCCCTTAGCACCTGCTGTTTTAACTACCTTCGCAAGCGATCCGACCCGGATGCACTGCGTCAGAGCTCGGACAGAAGGCTCATCGACTTCATCCTGCTGCAAGGACGAGCCCTCTTCACCCAGGAGTTGCGAGAGAGGCGCAACAATGGCACCTTGATAGACCTCGGCTTACAGACCTACTACCGCTAAGGACTTCCCCCGATCCTGATCCTGATCCTGATATCTGAACTGATAACGAAACTGGCTTTGATTTGAACTAATGACTCATGTGATCCGATGGCAATGGCGAAATGGTTGAAATGTTTGAAATGTTAATAAACCAATAAAGGCACTAACTTCTTTGGGGCACTATTTAGTAAGTCATTACGCGGGGTCCTTTGATTTTGTATCAATTGCAGTTATATTTTTACATTATTTTTTTTTACATTTTTTAATGCCATCTTTTTTTTTTTTTTGGTTTTCCTTGAGGTGTATTTGCAAAATAGTTTTAGTCTTTGTAGATCTAGAGCCGTCAGTTCCCTACGTCTGCAGTCGTCGTCTCTGATTCCCCTAAGCCTGCGATTCGCTGATCTCCGCGGTGGCCTGTGTCCTCGAGTCCGCGGCGAGGTCGTCCTTGCCGCAGGCCAGGCAGGGCATCTTCTCCCGCAGGACCTGCTTGTACTTGGGATGGCTGAGGGATAAATGCCACACAATGAGTATAATCAAATGCATAGATGGCTAAAGCACCCACCTCAATCCGTAGACAATGGGATTGCACACCGCATTCGCCTTGGCGAACACCGATCCACAGATGGTGCTCAGTGGACTCAGGTGCATGGACTCGAAGATGCCCGCATAGTTGATGATGGTGTACGGGGTCCAGGCGAAGAACCACAGCGAGATGGTGGTCAGGGCCACCTTGGCCAGCTTGATCTCGATGGCCTTGCTCTTGTCGGCCTCGCTGTTCCGCAAGGAGGCCACGTTCATCTTCTTGGCCTGCTCCCGCATGGCCTTCTCGTGGGCAGCCACCGCCTGGAATGCGAAGTAGTCATTAGATAGTTTCTTGGTTAATTAATGAAGTAACCCCATCCCACCTTCATGATGTGCCAGTAGGAGAAGATGATGGTCATCAGTGGCGTGAGGTAAACCCACAGCGAGTAGACAATGATGTAGGAGCGATTCCACCAATCCTTGGCGAAGTAGTCAGTGCCACAGGCGGTCTGAAAAGGTATTATAAGTGATCCCCCATCTGAAATCTTTAACTCTAGCAGATCTAACCATATTTCCCTCGGGAACGTAGCGATTCCATCCGAACAGCGGCATCAGAGCCCAGGCTCCGCAGATGGTCCACACCACCATGAGACGGAGCACCGCCGCGGTGTTGGTCAGCGGCTTCCTGGCCATGCCCTTCACGATCACACAGTACCTGTCGTAGGCGATCAGCGTCATCGACCAGATGGACACGCAGCCGAACAAGGAGCCGAACATGCCGTACAGTTCGCACAGGAAGGGACCCATGATCCAGGTGCCGTAGAAGCCGTTCAGCACCACCGGCGGGAACATGGTGAACATCATCATGAAGTCGGAGAAGGCCAGGTTCACCACGAACATGTTGGACGGGGTGCGCAGTCCCTTCGACGAGGTGAAGATGTACATCACGATGAAGTTGCCCGCCAGCGACATGGTGCCCAGGATGGCAATCACGAAGCCAATGATGCCGAACCACATGGGCTCCAGTGGGGGCCACTGGTACCAGTAGGGGTCCACCATGTGCATGATCTCGGCGGGCACGCTCTCCGCCAGGCTGAGATTGCGGCCATCGCGCATGAAGCCATAGCTCGGTGGATTCAGGCTGACCATTTCGGAGCTGCTGTTTCGATTCGGCTTAGTTCGGTGGTGGCTTCGTCTGAACTTGGACTTAGACTCGGATTTGGATGGCTACTCTGCTGCGGATGGCTACTCGCTGTCCATAGCAGGACGACTGACTCTCGGGACGCGGACTCGGCGGCAATGGCTGCGGCAGAACCCTGGCCGGGTCTTTATATGGCCACTTGTGTCCAGAACGTCTTAGACTAATTGCCCTAATCCAATTACCAAGCACTTGGGCACTTGGCCAATCCAAAGCTACCGATCCGAATTGGGCTTTCGATTGCCGCTAATTTGCTGCGTCGGATTACGAGTAGTGTCGCGTCACTTGCAAACCGTCTTAGCCGCCAGCGGGCCACGATGGACAAGGTCAAGTTCGAGGCAGCCACCCACCAGCCATCACCCACCCACCAGCCATCACCCACCCACCAGAAATCACCCACCCACCAGCCATCACCCACCCAGCAATTAGATTAAGACAAACGCTTTCCTGCCTCGCCAAGTTCACGTTTACTGACACACATCGTCGACTCCTCAGGAATGCCAATGGTAGCCCAGTTTGCGGGCTCCTCGCATCACGGAGGACAGCTGGAACTGCAGGCTGCCGTAGGACTCCATGGACAGGCCCTTGCACTTCAGGTTGTCCAGCAGGACCTTGGGATCCTTCAGTTCCGGCTCGCGGCGGAGCAGCCAACTGGTGATGTCCGCCATCATGCTGGGGCACTTGGGCATCAGTATGGGAGCCTGCAGCTGCTCCGCTTGCTCCGCAGGACGACGACTCCCGAACACAGGCAGGTGGAGGTGGGCGTAGCCAAGGAGCGTCTCCCGCCCCATTCCATTGCGTCCGAAAACGCTCACCAGGATCTGGGGCCCTGAAAGAACAGAAAAGACAAGTAAGTCCATCATTTCACATATCACTTATTTGGCCTAAAAGGAATCCTAGAAGTTTTTTGATCTTAAGATTATGTCCTTATTTGTGTCCATAAACTTTATAATCCAATAGTAAAATTGTAGTTAATCAAAAGTAATCACAAAATAGTTATCTGCCAAAAAAAAATTTTAGACACTTTTAAGTTATGGGTGTAGAAAATAAATAACTAATATTTTCTATTTTGCATGATCATTAAATCCATTTCGAATTGCAGAAAAGGAAATTTAATGATAAAAGCTTGTTAATTAATTACTAAAATATAGTCTGCTTAGTTTGCTATTTTTAGTTAGAATTAAAGTGTATAAAATAGAAATCACATATTATATTATTTCAAACAAATTATTCGACATATGTATCACAGAAACCACAATAACTTATAGTAAAGCTAAAAATATATATCTGTTACTTCTGTAACTACATGTTGTACTCCATTTCAATAGAACTAATGCACAGTTTTACCCACAGCCAAAGGGACTGGTGCTCTTGTAGGTCACCTCGATGGGCATGTTGAAGACCACCGGCTCGTTGAAGTGTCCCCTCCGGTTGGTGGCCAGCTGGGTGAGTCCGTGCTGGGGTCCGGAGGCCAACTGCCAGTCGGGACCGGCGACCAGTTCGTAGCGCAGGAAGACGAACTCCTTGTCGGGACCCAGGGGAAATGTGGCGGACACTATTTGGCCCGTGATGCTCAGGCTGAAGTAGCTGGCAGTGGCTTTCGCGTCCATGGCACTCGGAGGAGCCCTCTCTTTGGCACTGCTGGACTTCTTCTTTCGGTCCTTCTTGGCCTTTTGTTTATGTTTTTCACGCGGCGGACTGGGGTCCTGGTTGCCTGGGAGACTAATGCCCTCACTGGCACTCATTTCGGTGGTTGCCGACTCGCCAACGGGGTGGTTTCGAATCGAAATACAAGTATTTTCCACCTGACAACTGCCACTGAAAGGGGCACCAACTGAGTGTTGGAAAAGGTGAACAAATATGACAAGTTCATTCAGTGTTTTAGTTAAATTTTATTAAAAACAAGAAAAGAAGCAAACTTCGGCAAGCCGAAATTTATATACCCTTACAGTTATTACAAATCGACTACATTTCGATTTCTATGCCTATATTACTAAAAGGTGGCCCATAACTGGACTTCCAAAGTCCATAACTTTACCAAATTTTATCCGATTTTAAAGTGGCATACCTCTAAAGACTCTTAATTCGATTCTCAAAAAATCTGCATCAAAATTTTTCATTTTAGAGTTGATCCAATTTTTGACCCATTTTCATGTCATTTATTTCCAAGTTTCCGATGTGTTGTTAAAAGGTGGCCCATAACTGGACTTCCGAAGTCCATAACTTTACCAAATTTTATCCGATTTCAAAGTGGCATACCTATAAAGACTCCTAATTTGATTCTCAAAAAATCTGCATCAAAATTTTTCATTTTAGCGTTGGTCCAATTTTTACCCATTTTCATGTCATTTATTTCCAAGTTTCCGATGTGTTGTTAAAAGGTGGCCCATAACTGGACTCCCAAAGTCCATAACTTTACCAAATTTTATCCGATTTTAAAGTGGCATACCTCTAAAGACTCTTAATTCGATTCTCAAAAAATCTGCATCAAAATTTTTCATTTTAGAGTTGATCCAATTTTTGACCCATTTTCATGTCATTTATTTCCAAGTTTCCGATGTGTTGTTAAAAGGTGGCCCATAACTGGACTCCCAAAGTCCATAACTTTACCAAATTTTATCCGATTTTAAAGTGGCATACCTCTAAAGACTCCTAATTCGATTCTCAAAAAATCTGCATCAAAATTTTTCATTTTAGAGTTGGTCCAATTTTTGACAAATTTTCATGTCTCCGATGTGTTGTTAAAAGGTGGCCCATAACTGGACTCCCAAAGTCCATAACTTTACCAAATTTTATCCGATTTTAAAGTGGCATACCTTTAAAGACTCTTAATTCGATTCTCAAAAAATCTGCATCAAAATTTTTCATTTTAGCGTTGGTCCAATTTTTGACCCATTTTCATGTCATTTATTTCCAAGTTTCCGATGTGTTGTTAAAAGGTGGCCTATAACTGGACTTCCGAAGTCCATAACTTTACCAAATTTTATCCGATTTCAAAGTGGCATACCTATAAAGACTCGTAATTTGATTCTCAAAAAATCTGCATCAAAATTTTTCATTTTAGCGTTGGCAATTTTTATAGCAGCTATAGGATATAGTCGGCCGATCCTTATCAACTTCCTAACTTTACAAACACCAAAGTTATGGCATTTCCGATCAATCAGTTATATGGCAGCTATAGGATATAGTCGGCGGATCCCGGCCGTTCCGACTTATATACTGCGTGCAAAGGAAAGAAGGGTGTGTGCAAAGTTTCAATTCAATATCTTTAAAACTGAGAGACTAGTTTGCGTAGAGACAGACAGACGGACAGACAGACGGACATGCTTATATCAACTCAGGAGGTGATCCTGATCAAGAATATATATACTTTATAGGGTCGGAGATCTCTCTTTCACTGCGTTGCACACTTTTGACCAAAATTATAGTACCCTCTGCAAGGGTATAAAAACTGACTTAACATATAATCATTACATATAATAGATATATTATATTTTGCTTGCCCAGCAAAGTCTTTTATGCATTTATTAATTCGTTATAGAGTTTTCTGCACACGCCAAATGTTTCGCATATTAAATAACACAAACAGAAATTGACATCGAATTACTAAACAACTTATTCATTGAAATTTCTTTTGCAATAGCTTTAAAAATTTATGTAATTCAAGAACCTTATTTAAACAGAGAAAAAACACAAGAGACAGAGATATTTCTGGTTTGTTAATGCTGATTGTAAGAGACTCAGGAATTCATGAGCCAAACGCTAATTGATTGTAAATCTGGATAGTATATGACCTGTCCATACTTAATAATAGTTTAGATAAAGCTTTATGGATAATTTCTATTTCTTACTGATTTAATGAACACTAACATGCCCATAAATCACATTAATAATATCTTTCGGTATGTATTGTAAGTACATTAGTCGTGTTTGGCCGTGGGTTTCCTTTGTTTCGTTAATTTAGTTAGGGAAACAACTTATTTTATTCACACACTTTGTCAACCTCGGGGCGTCTGGTCATGTCGACGCCAGTGTAATTTAATACCATCGGAGTTACAAGCTCGTTACATGGACATCGAGTGGTTCTGTTCGTTCTGCTTTGCATACTTTGATCCAGCTCGGAATATCGCAGTAACATATCTGCACACAACTATGTAATACGTGACAATTACAAGATAATAATTCATTTTCAGCCGGCAGTCTAGGCGGGGCGAAAGGTCAATTGCGATCGACACTGACTCAGAGTTTCTAGCCATTGAAAAAGGGGGTTCTTCGGCAGCCGTGTAATTAATTCTGTAATGGCCATTTAGCAATTTATAGCTGCCAACGCGGTGTGCCTGTAAATCATTGTGACAATTGCCGGCGCTACCGAAACGGGAAGTCGGGCCTCCGATCTGCGATCTCCGGTGCCGCTCCCTGCCAGCAAAATGCATTATGCAATGGCAAAAACTGGCCAGCAGCCAGTTATCTACATAGTTAGCCAGTATGCATTTCCATACCCCTTGGCGTAATTAAAATGCGCCACAAATAATGTCAATGGTTCAAGGCGATGCCACCAAGCTGTCCTGGGTGCAACAGCCCACGATCTTCTCGAGCCGCAGAACCACGCAGGTGATCTTCGCACCAATCGGTTTGGATTGTCACTGCAGCTGTGGTGCAACCGGTGGCTCAGAGTGGGGCAACAGCTGGCCCAGTCAAGTGGTGCCGAGTGATTACACTGAGAGAAAGTTTTGGCTGCTTAAGACATCTGTATAAAATAAACCTAAGCTTAAAGTAAATCTCTCTATTTTAACGCTATTAAAAATTAAAAAACATTTTTTTTTATTTATAAGTATGAAAATTGGTTTTCAATTCGAAGGTTTCACTCAAAAATTTTATTTAAAACTGTATACATTTTTGTTTTAATTCTAAAAGAAATATATTAAACCAAAAAAGTCCTGATAAACAGATTCATTCAAAAAAGATTTTTTAACATACATATTTTAATTATTGATTGTCAAATATGACTTATAAGTTTTAGCTTAAAATATAAAATACCATGATTAGTTTTAGAGTCACTTAGTGCTTTATTAAAAATTAAGAAAACAAAATTATTATTTTTATTAACTGCATCAAAAAATGTTGAATTATTCATCGCATGATTATTCATAAGATTTTTTTAATTTTTCCATATTTTTTTTCCACTTTAAGAACTTACTCATGATTGTCGTACGATTTTGGTGAGTATAATGTGTGCAGCGTGTGCAGCTCTGCGAAATAAGCCCCTTTGATGGCCAAATCAAAGGCTTAGGCTTAGGCAGCCAGATGAAAACAAAAGTGAAGCCATCACATATCGACATCAGGCCATATGCCATATATACTTATACCGTAATCGGAGAGAGCGCTGACACAGCGCAGAATCGACATTATTTCGGCTCGAGTTCTGCATTATGGCACCATGCTCGGCTTCTAATACTTCAGAACACCGCCTGCAGGCATACTCATATATGTACAATTTAATACTCGTACCCATGCAATGTAATGGCTGCATTCAATTACGTTTTCGGAATCAATGAACAGAAGAATTATTCAGAAAGAAACATTAATTTTGGGTCTTATATAAAAGCGATTCATATCCATTGAATGGCCCGGCCCGAGTGTAAATGAAAATTTTCAATTGAAGTCTTTGGCCAGTGCACTGGCCAACTCCAAAAGGGGCGTTGCATTACTGAAAGCCGATCGCCGTGTGTTGAACCGTTTTGCCCAACGCGAATTTCTGGAGCGGTTCAGGGGTCGATTAGGGCCGGAACCATCTGCAGATGTCTAATATCTTTCCCCGACTCACCGACAGTTCAAAGAGCCCGTTCAGATCCACGAAATTGAACTATGCACGCGTATGTACTTGAATTTTAGTCCATTTTACGATCTTGCCTTTCAGCGGGCACTCATTTTTTATGGCAATAGCGCTGTGCTTCTCATTGTACTTCTGCTACATTTAAAATGTTTTTAATTTCAACTCACTTTAAGTATATTCCACATGATACCCATCTATATTTGCAAGCCTATGGGATACGATTTGCATGCCCGTATGCTACCGCATTCGCCATTCGTTCTCCATCTCAAGGAATAGAAGTACACTGGTCAAAATAATGGAGCTTAAATTTGGAATGTATTTGGAATTGAATAAAATGCATTAAAGATAGGTATGCACAAGAGTTGTTTAATATTATTAAAATGTTTGTATAAAAATATAACTATTAACATATGCTACCTGTTTACTTTTACTCAAGGGAAATATCCATATTGATCAAGGTTACACAAAATATGAATAAGAAAATATGTCTTCTTTTAGGTGGCCCGTTTTGCCCTGTGCATCTATATATAAACCACTATTAGTTTATATTTTTCGCGTTGCGTGGGCGTGGGCTAGTCTCAGGGTCAACGCACGTCGGCCAGTTCCCAGCGATCCCCATCCACATCCCCATCACCATCACCATCCCCATCTCTATACCCTTCCCCATAGTCATCCCCGATTCCCATCTAGATCGGCATTGCCATCGCCATCGCCATCTGCGTGTGCTGTCATTGTGGCTGGTCTATGCTGTTGCTGAATGGATGATATATGCCATACAGTTAAGTGAAATGTATCTTCGAGATACGCAAACTATGGGAGTACAACAAATGCCTCTTACGCATGTCTCTCGATTCCGATTCCGATTTCGATTCGTATTCCTATTCCTGCCGCTGATTGACAGCGCAAGTAATTGAGTTTGATTTTTGCGAATTTCCAGAATTTAGACATCACCCATGAGGGCATGGAATCGGGGTGAGGTGGCTCTTTAAGAAAGGTTTCTGTTTAGTTAGCCCACATATTTGATTCGATTTGATTGAGCAGCTGTCAATGGAACTTAAAAGCCTGAGCTCTCAATAATTCCAGAGGTTTGCGGATCGAACGAATGTCTGTCTCGGGCTTTCGCAAGCTTTCGATCATTCAATCAGGATCAATATTTATCAATCAAGTGTGTGAGTGTGGGTGAGCGAAATCGGCTGAATGGATGTAATCGAGCATACACAAATAAAAAACCAACACACACACCAGCCACACTCACCCACAATTATATACGGACAGACGCAATTGACTAAGAGGTCTGCGCGTGTTGGACGCACGGATGGGTGAAAAGACAGACAGTCTGACATCGAACATGTGGAGATGCTGCGGATTTGATACTGATCCGCAGTCTAGGGCCCTTCACAGCCTCTCGCTCGTTGATCTTCGATCCGCTTGGAGGCCGTCTGCAGTCGCTATACCCATCACCCATCGGAATTGCACATGGAAGGGCACCTGAGAGTGATTCTGAATCCGAGTGCGGGGATCCCATCTGATGTTGCTGTGAGGCAACAGCATTGCTGCTATTTTGGCATTTACTGCTAAACAAAAGTTTATGACTGCGCGTGCTGCCGGCTGCCTAATGATCTAAATGCGTTAATTATTGAGATGATACAATGCGATGTTGATCTGGACGGAGATACCAAACATAGATGAGTAGATAGATGAATAGACAGATACATAGATACATTGCGGTCAGCTTCAGTGGCATCCGCCTAGAGATCTCCAGTGGTTCGATCATTAACATCCCAAAGGCAGCGGAGCCTCTTTTGAGCAGTATTTCCTAATTCAGACAGCATGTTCACCCCTTTTTAGTGTGGACCAAGACTAGTAAGGGATTTGCTAGACTGAACAATTAATTAGAGAGCCCGATAGTTGGTCTCCAGCCAAGAAGGTATTTATTCAGTGGCTGTGTAAACACAACACATAGGGCATGGCCAGTTCGGTCTAGTGATGGTAATAATGGTGTTGCAGAACTCACTTGCCCCAGACTTTTAGGGGCTGTATGTTGCAAGATTTGCCGTTTTGGCTGCTGTTTTATGTTGCCTTCATTCGGGTGCCGGCAGTTTGTTGTTGATTACAAAACAAGCGTTGCCGATTGCATAGTTGCTGCCCCATTGCAACGCCCCGCTGGCGATCGCTCTTCCCGGAATCTTTTAAGCTGTTTTTCATTAGCCGGGGGCACAGCACATTCAGTTTATATTCGTACATACCAGGCGAACATATATCATATTTTAGAATATTTCAGAATTTTCGCCGTCTGCTGCAGCCGAGCGAAATGGATTTTTAATTTCCAACTATACTTTAATTTGGCAAACGAGCTCTCGTCTTTTAATTGATTAATTCTTATTGCTGCGTTTGATTAAAGAAAATATTTACTATACAATAGGGTCAATTGCTACATATGGTAATTTGCCATAGAAGACATTTATGTGGAGAGTTCGCGGCGCACAAATAATGGAGCGGTTCGCCACTATTTTTGTCCACTGACGCGATCAGTAGATTGATCTTGACCCACATTGAATGGGATCCACCAGATGTCGCACGCTTTTTGTATACATGGCCTAATATACTGTATCATCCTTGTCTATGAAAGTTTTCTCTCTTCAAATTGTCTTTAAAGATTGGTCACAGTACTGTCAGCTTATAAACCCAGTTAAACCCTTTCTATGATAAAAATGAGCTAGTCAACTTTTTTTGTATATGAGATATTAAACGAACGGAAGATGAAATTCCCAAATTCCCAAGAGCAGACTCTTACACATTGGAAAATTGTTAATTGTCTTTAAAATGTAATATTTCCCATTGACTCATTTTTTAAATATTGGTCACAATTTAACATGTTAATGACGTTCATCACAGCTCTGCTCTTTTTCAGATCAAAACAAGAGAGAACGCTATAGTCGGGCGCCCCGACTATCACATACCCGTTACTCAGGTAAAGGGAGTGCGAGGGAGATGGAGATAGAAACTTTGATCACGCATAACTTTTTAACGAATGGTCCGATTTGAAAAATTTCTTCTACATTTCGATAGGTATTGATAAACACAATAAAACTGCATTTTTACTTTTCCGAAATATTTAAATTTTTAAAATCGTATATAAGCGATTGTGGGCGTTAAAGGGGCGTGGCACCTTTTTGAAACAAACTTGCGCTGCGTAGGAACCCTAAAATCTACATGCAAAATGCCAATCTTCTAGCTTTTATAGTTTCCGAGATCTCAGCGTTCATACGGACGGAAAAAAAAAAGAAAAAAAAAAGGGAAAAAAAAAGGGAAAGACAGACGGAAAAACGGACAGACGGACATGGCTATATCGACTCGGCTAGTGACCCTGATCAAGAATATATATACTTTATAGGGTCGGAAACGCTTCCTTCTAGCTGTTACATACTTTTGCACGAATACAATATACCCTTTTACTCTACGAGTAACGGGTATAATGAAAAGGTCATCTTCCGGTTTTTAGTTTTCTTAAAATTAACTTTGAAATTTGTAATTGTCTAAAAAAAGAAATTTGTACATTGACACATTTTTGGCATAAATGTGGCATGTTAAATTCGAGTTAAAAATAACGTAAGTCACAGTTCTGCTATGCTCTTTTTCAGATAAAAATGAAAAAGTCATCTTCCGTTCTTGTAGTATCTCATAATTAACTTTTGGGTAATGCCCAAGACGATTAGCAGTTAATGTTTCAACCAAATTTTTAAACTAATTTCATCACTCCCATTTCATTGACTCATAATTATTCGTAAGAATTAATATAAGTAAGCCAAATAAATAATAAAGGACTGTTACTCACATTAATCATGCATATCTATTCAGTATTAAGTCATCTTCCTTGGATTTTTCTTACCCCGATTTTTTATTTTTTAACGACTTAAAACTGTTTAACTAACAAAGATTTACTGTAATGTTTCCAAATTATTTTTGATAATAAACATATGGTGATATAAATTTTAAACAATTACTAATTTACTTAATCATTATTATTAATAAAATTTTATAATACGGATTATTTCCAACAAATAGCAAATAATAAATAACCAAACATAAACAAAATAACTAAGTCCAAAGTATTCAATAAGTTAATAAATTCGAATTAAAAAATTTTTCTTTAGATATGTTTTGACCAAATGTAAGACTTAATTTAAATTATTTTTATAAAAACATAATATAAATAACTATTCTATCGATTAACTGAAAACGGATTCTTGATCAAATCCCCATCTGGACCACAGAATCGGATGCGAAAATTGTTACTACGCCAAGATTAGGATCTTATCTGATCAAACATATACAAAGATAAGAAAAATTGGGCACTCTAAAGGTTATGGAACCTTGCGAACCACATGTGCGGATTATGTGTGTGAAAATAAAGAGGGAATTTAAGAGAAAGCTCGAGCGCTCTTTTAAGCTGCGCTCGCCACGAGTTGCTTTCTCTTCGGTATGGAGCTCTTTAACTCCCGCTCTTTCAACACCGGCTAACTTCGTTGGGGATCGTGTGAGATCGTATGTTATATGGTATGGGAGTACGTGGTCCAGAGTGCCGTCTGATATCTTTTCGGGATGTGAAATTCCAAACGCTCCTGTGGCTAATCTTAATCGCCAAAGACCCATTCCCTTGAGTCTTTAAAGCTCAGTTGGTTGTGCCATATCCCTATATATGAATGTACAAGGCGTATCAGCGGCGAGAGAGCAGCGTTTTGACTCTGTGAGCGATCGTAGATTTGCTGGCGGACTCGAGCGTTTAGTCCACAGCGGGTACTCAAGCGAGTCGAAACGAAACATCGCCAGATACAGATACATTTTGTCTGGTTGTAGCACTTGGTCAGCCGCCTCGTTCTCGTCTGTTTCGTTTTGTTTGCGCGCGCGGCAATTGCTTGAGTTTAATTCCTACTCCGATTCCAAATTTCGATTCCAAATCCAATTTCGATCCCAAAAATAAAACCGACCTATACTTACGCGCCAGTGAATCCTGTCCAGCCATGTCGACGGCGCTACGATAATATGCCATCCGATCGGCGCGTTCTTGTGAACTCTGACATGGTGCTGCTGTTGACAACCTTCGCCATCGAAAAGCCAACAAAAACAGCCACTGCCACTGGTAATAGTACGGGCACTGCCGAAAAGAAAGCCAACCCAGAATGCCAAAGGTGACCAAGTTAATGGTGCAGCTCTCGAAAGTGAATGCATTTAGCGCGGTGTGTGAAGTTTAAGCATAACATTGGCCCGCCACGAATTCTGTGATTCGGCAAAAAGATTCATCATGAGATCGTACAATCGCTCTAGAAGTAAAGTAGTTTATTTTAGCTAATCGCAGCCATAAGTGTGAGTCGTTTTTAATATCCACGAGCCGAAGTCTACTCTTTTTCATTTCTTTGGCGGGTGCGGTGCCCACGGCAACGGAACGAGACGCTCGCATTTCAATTAACAAAATAAGCAAAGCCAAAGAGCCAGCAAAAGTGTACACATATACATATAGCCAGCCAGCGTATACGCACAGTGGATTGTGCGATTGCGATTGTGATTTCGCGGGCATTTTTGCACGTGCCACGGGAGATTGGAATCGCCAGAGTCCGTGGTTACCATTACCCGTGCATCCGATCACCATGTCCATGCCGGAAGCCGGTTCGCCGGAAACTGCCGGCCAGGAGGCCGAGTGCCATCGACTGCTGCCCGAGCAGGAGGACCATTCGAAGTCTCCAGCCTACTCATACGCCAGCACCACGCTCCGCTCCACCACATCCGGCCACAGCATCCGGACCAACAGCACCACCGTCTGCGAATCCCCCGGAGCCGGAGAGCCCTTTCCATCCTTCTTCACCGACGCCGACGAGGAGGACCTTGTCTGCTGTCTGCGGGGGGCGGCGAACGACCTTGACGATGCCGGCCTGCGGTACTCCTTCAAAGGACCACCGCCGGAGCTGTACTCCCCGAAGAAGGACTTCATAAGCTCGGGACCGCTGCTGGACAGACAGGTACATGGGTCCTGGGACCGACAAATTTGTGTGCGCTTGGAGGTCTAGCCTACCGCCTCGCATTTCATGGCGATCGAATTCGCAGACCGGGATTTTCTACCGCCTTTTGTTTTATGATTTTTCATTTATTTTTGTTTGTATTCCTCTCTTTTTGCTTTATCGAAATCGGCTGGCCAAGCGAAAACCAAATTCAAGTTAATTTATTGCATTGATTCCACATCGATGTGTTGAGTTCTTTCCTTTCTTTTATAATTTCGCTTGATTTGTCGATATTTTGGTGTGCTTGTCTCGTTTTTGTATGCCGCATTGTTTTTTTTTTTTGGCTTTTTATTTCTATTCGTGGCTCACTTTTTGATTTTGATTAAATACCGCTGGGACACAAAGAAAGCGACGACGACGCGGTGGCCATCGCATTTGAATTCACACGCTTCACTGCACAACGGCACACTCAATGGAAAAGTAGATCTCGATTCGGGCTCGATTTTCGGCGACCTCACCGTTCGACGACTTCAAAGCGACTGCATAGTGCACCGTGCAACGTGTGCAGTCGGGAGCACTGGCACTTCGTTCCAGATCCGAGTGACTTATCCACGCAGTGCATCCCCCCAAATTCGATGGCCGAAAAAAAAAACTAGTTTATTGCTCTTTTACTGACTCACTGGACCCATCCATCCATTTACGTCAGGCGGAGGGACTGCTGATATTTTAGACGTGTGTTTCCGCCAAAGCCTTATCGCGATTACTCTGCAGCAACACTTTTCGGGAAAGTTGATTCTGCATCTGAGCACATGTCTCACCTCAGATAAGAAGTAAAAGTTATCTAAGCAAGGTGGCAGTCGCATAAAAAATAAAAACAATTTAAGACACTCTATATAACAATACTAGCGAAAAGTGGACGCCCCTGTCTGGTTAGTAGATATCGCAGAGTAGGGTGTACGAACTGTATTCTACCTATTAGTCTAACCAAATTTACATGCAAATGTGCTGCACATTTTCAAGTTCGCATTGGGGAAATGCCATTTCAATTACACGAACTGGGTGGAAACCGCAGATAATTAAGATTTACAGAGCCCAACAAGGTGTGAAAACTAGTTGTTCGGGACGTGACAACAACAAATGTGGAAGCATGCCCAAAACATGGCTTACTGACTTACAGGCCATTAGAATTTTATCAACGTCCGACGGGGCGGGCAATGTAAAGTTTGAAAAACATCACGAACCCGGGACTCATGAATACATAATACATAATGTTGGGTGCGAATTAGGAAGTCCGTAAGCCGGACTATAACTGATAACGACCCGCTGCCGCTGCTGCTGGCCATGTGTAACGTAACCCCCTTGGGATCGTTGCTTGTTGTCTATATAGTCCATACTTATGTATATGTAATATATATATTCACCCATTTGCTTTTGGGGAGCAAATGAAAAATTGTGACATTTTCAGTGCGGTTCGAATAGTTCTGTATGTGTGTACTGTGCACTGTGTTTTGAAAATAGAATTTTCTAATTCTTTATGTGGCGCCTTGTTTCGAGGAACACTTGCTGTAAGTAATTCTCCCTGTATTGGGGTGCTCTGTCCAATTTGTATTTCAACTACGAAAATTTGCACAATGTGTAGAATTTGAATATTTATTTTTTTTTTTTGGTTTTTGTTATTGTTTTGTTTTGGCTTTTTTTTTTTTTTGGTGAGTCGTACGTCGTTGCTTGCGCGTGTTTCTCTGTCCCCTTAGCTTCTCGCTATTCATTTTGTCTTCAATTTATTTCGTCTACTTTAAATAAAAATGAAGAAAATTTTTGTGGCGTTCATTGACATTAAAAATGAGAAAAATAATGCAAAGAAAAGAAGTCTGAAATTGAACATTTGTCAGTCGCCAACATGTTTTACTGATCCCAGCGAAGTACCACTCAATATGTGGGTGTCGACGAATTTCTGGTGAGTATTGCCATCCGAAACTAGACGGATGACCCGCGAAGAGCCTGCAGAAAATCGGATTGTAGCCTACGTGTAATGATCGTGAATTATTCAGCTCGGCTTTCGGTGATTAACGCTATAAATAACCATTCTGAATGCCAATTCGTATGCAAATTAGGAGGGCGTGCCTCTGCAGCCCTTCGAATGGAGGGGTGACAAATAATTTGTCGGAATATTAACGCCGTCAGGGAACAAAAAAGAAACGAGTTACAATAACAACAGGCCGCAAAATAATTTCAACTAAAAAAGCTAAAAAAAACGACCATATAATTTTAAGTGTGATGTCGCGGCGTGACTTTAGGGTGCTGTGCTTATGTTTTTCGTTGGTTATTTTGAATTTAATTTATATATTTTTTTCGGCAGAAGATACATACGTGATCTGCATGCAAACACTTCTGCGAAGGCCCGCATCCCCCGCCCCTCCCCTCGGGAAACCACCCACGTTACCCACAAGAGCAAAGTCCCAAGTGCTCATTTTCTATCTTATGAATACTGTCAGAATTATGAAAAAATGTTTATAAAAATCTTAAATATTATTTTATGAAAGGAAGCCGACTATAGTATGCTCTTTTTATATTTAAAAAATTTGTAAATTTAATAGTGCTTACAAATAACAAATTATTTTATCCTTATTATTGCTTTTTAGTCAATCCTATACAATATTATTATCTATTTACAAGTAGATATATTACTACTTGTATTTGTTTATAAAAGATTCATCATAGGCATTTTAAATATTTACTTATACATTTAGTATAAGCTATGGAAAGAGTATGGGAAAACATCTTAAAGCCATTCCAAACCTGACAAGTGATTGCTCATTTTAATTAATTCTTTTTTAATTTATCAGTCAAGATTAATGTTAAACATGTTCAATCTGGCTAGGAGTTGGTTTCGGAAACCGAATTCGGTGTTGGCCCAGCCGGGGTTTCTGTGTTAATAATTTAAATATGGATTTTAGCGGCCTTTTTCGGCGGGGTATTAGCATAATTGGGGGCCAGTGTCCATCCCCGGCTGCCAAGCTAATCCACTCAAGGCGAAAACACCTCTAATAATTACCTGTCCAATTTTTCTTCACATTCGGCTGATTTTTCTATCGATTTTGTATCTTGTGTCTCTGCTGGTCTCGCAGGTCTTGAATGAATTTTTCAACAAATTATTTCGATTTTTTTTGGTAAATAAAAATTTGTTAAACTGACTCGTGGGCTTACATCAAACGTTGGAACCGCCCATAGAGCACAAGCTGGTTTCATCTCGTCTTGATTGTCTTTGGGCCCATTTGAATGCTTTATTTGGTGTTTAGTTTAAGCCCCATCCCTAGTAGGACGGGTCGGACCAGACCAGACCAGACCCGACTTACCTTTACCTGCCTATCTTAATGATTTTTTATTTATTTGCTGCCATTTGTTGTGAGCCGTCTTATCGCGTTTGTGACCATTTCGAGCCTGAGCGTGTAACATCACTTTACATAAGTCCATTATATTTTATTTTTAACGACACTCTTTTAATTATTTCGCCCCGCTGCTGGTGGCATCATCGCTCCCATCTTCACGATCAAGGCAGCAAATGGAGCTGGAGCTGGATCATCGCGGCATTATCGATACTGCCGCTTTGCATATAAATTTGGGACTCGGTCGAGACGAGGACGGACTCTTTGGGGCGGTGCGTCTTTATTCATATGCTAAACTCTTCTGAATTCAGAAGTCAGAAGTGGTTTAGCTGGGCCGACGGGCTCGGCATTTATTTGAAAGCAATTTGGAAACCTTGGGGCATCGTCACTTTATCATCGGACGCGGATGGGTGCAGCATAAGCCGAACGCAGTTCGCGATCTAAATACAAAAAGAAGGTTCCTTAATGGCATCGCCTTTTTATTTTCGTTATTGTTTTATTATTGTTCTCTGGCTGCTTCGTTTTTTTTTTTTATTAATATTTCAAGGAGGAGGAATTCGGATATTTGCTGTGGATTGCCTTTGTTTCGATTCCTCGGAATTAGACGAGAAATTGCCGTTCTTGGACTGCGATCTATGAGGGGTGTTATTTTGTATATAAATGTATGTATACCCTTTCGTTTGGGTGGCATGATTTATGGGGCAAGTGATGTCGATTTGATGGCGCATCACGTATACGCCCAGTGGTGGTATCATGCAGTTCCCGGAGCTCTCATCCCAGCCCCGTTCTTCTGGGAACCCCGAGCGATACCTGACATTTATAAATATAACGTATAATCGCATTATTGCCACACGCCCTCCGTTTGGTGAAATCGAATATTCGCCATCTCTGCCGCAGGCCATTTGCCTAACGGTTTCGGCAACTGAGCGGCAACCTAAAACAAAACAGATTGTCATTTGCATAGAAAATCAATTCGAAGTCATTAATAAATCGACCTGTTTTATTTATTATTTATTTACATTTCGCTCGTCGCTTTATTTTAATATCTCGCCTTTTAACATTGTATCCATGTTGATAGCCAAGAGTCTAATCTGCCAAGAAATATAAATGTTTATTTGTTGGTTAAGCAATATTGTACCAAACAGATAAGACATATTATCCTGCAATACAGATCACCTTGAATTGTATTTGCGTATCTATAACACTGCATCTGTTCTAAAGTTAGAGTATCTTTTCCACCTTATCAGCTTTACTCTAAATAAAAACTATTTGCTATTGTATTTTTTCTTGCATTACAGTCTTTACATAAGTTTGGTTACTATATACTATATAGTTTGTAGTTGCTAGTAAAAAATTATAGCTGGTATGGGGGGTTTTCCAATTTGTATCTGTTAAATTTCACACGCGTTCCGCAATGTATCTTACATAGACCTAGGACCACACACGTGCTATCTAGTACGTTCTAGGGCTTTAAACGAACCTATCCATAGACCTTAGCTCGATCAGCTGGCAGGTGATAGATAGGTGTTAATTTGCAGTGACAGAAGTGCACGTCACGGCAAATTTGGTATTTACCCAAATGTTTAGCAACGCAAAGCACACATCTTAAACCATGCTGCTACTTCATAAGCGGGATCT